CACACACACAAAAAAAAAAAAAAAAGTGAGAATAAAAAAAGGAAAGGAAAAAATGGAACCAGGGGAAATAAACGACGACGATCAAGGACTCCGTCAATTATGCGCAGAAATTCTTGAAAATTGGAACAAACCCATTTACACGAATTCGGGACATAAACTTGTTAACGAAAACCTGTTCACCCTACACGAACAACGATACTCAAACTCCTCGTATCACGACATTCAAAGAGACGAACTTTCATTGCAAGATTCAAAAACCGTCGAGGATGTTTCGAAGAAAATTGGTGGTTATGAGTTGGCAAAGGATGCGGATGTTATCACACGATTAGTTGCCGACACATTCTACGACAGGGTGCTCGGATGCTGTGTTGATGGCATAGATTTAGCTTCTTTGAATAAGGTTAAAGAGGCCAAGGCATCTCAAGAAGGGACCAAAGATCGTCGTTTGAGTCAGAATAGTTCGAGCAGTGTCCCTTTTTCGAACTGGCATTCACACCAAGCGATAGCCTATTTGCCCAAGGTCTCGATCTCATTGTATTGCTTAGAAAAACATACTTCTTGTGCATCGATTATGAGTTGTCAATTGCAAAGTGCAAACTTTTCTTGTTCATGAGAGTAAGTTAAATAGTGTTCCTCGTTTGTGGCAGTGTAATTTCCTCGTATCTACATGGCCGGGAGATAATTGGCAAGTGCATGCTACAAACTATTCAGCCCCTACGTTTGCCAGAAGCGTTCCTGCACAAGGATTAGTTGCCAAATCAAGATTTAGACTTCCTCCATACAAGTAAGCTCCATGCTAAATGTTTTGTATCAAGCACGTGTTCTGATTTTGATGTTCTCTTTAGAAAAACGAAACAAGTCGAGAAAGGTATAAGGTTATTCACCACAAGCAACATATTCCAATTATTTGATCCAATTTCATATACCGTTTATCCTTTACCACTATTGACAGGACAATCTTTGATGTAAACATTGATCACCTGTGGATGAAGTTGTGGCGAAACCCTGGAGCAGACGTGTCGGACTATTTTAACTATGGATTGGACGAGAAACAATGGAAGAATTACTGCAAACTGGTGGCAAGTATCGACCTGTAACTTTTGCATCAAGATATTCCAAACGAAGAATATAACAACAATTTGTTTCTCTTCTTTTCTCTTCTTTTCTCTTCTTTTTTCCATTTTTCAAGCAAGCACAAGTCCAAATGGGGAGTTCAGGACAAAGCACAATGACTACAGATACAAGACAGTTGCACAAGGTATCTATCATATCATTTGACTTTCTTTCATGTACGAACTACGTGAAAATCATTGTGCCATACTAAGCATGTCTAAACTTAAAATATTAATGAACTAGGCACTCCATCGTCATTTTTTTTTTTTTTCCTTCACATCTTCATCTCGTTTACATTTATCCTTTGTGTACTTCTTATATAGGAAGAGGGGGCCGATGAGACAAAGTCGGACAACGGAAATAATAAAAGCGTTAACTCGATAAATTCAACAGATTCAAATTTATGTGATCCTGACATTATCACTGAGGTAAGAATCTTGTGTTTTTTCCATCCCGACAATCTATTTTACGACATGAATCAAGATAGAAGAAAAGAAAACAATTCTTTTGAACAGGTAACCCCACATGAATCTTTCTACAATCGATCTGTATGTAACAGCAGAAAGAAACCTCGCATAAGCCATAAGATGATAGATGGCGACAATATATCGCCATTTCCCGCAGATAGTTATTCAGCACAAGACAGGTATATTACTAGTTTTACCGCTTTAATTCGTTTGGAACATGTTGGCATCAGGCATCAGCATTTCTTACAAAAACACAAATTTAGTGGAAAAGTTGTCCTTACTAACAGCAATAACTCAGAGATCGAAACAAAACTTGATGGTTTAGTGGAGAATAATGTTGAAGAGGATACTGGAAATCCGGAAAAGAAGAGCCGAGAGGTTTAAGCTTCCTTTGTCAACTCTGAAGAATGCAGTTCCAAGTAGATCAATGCAGTAAGCAACAAATATTGTTCTTCTACAAGGTATGGACTATGGGGGATTCATCAGCGCTTTCAGTAACTAAAAGTATTTCTATTCATATATCAAAGAGCGATATCTCCCTTGCAGAAGAAAAAGAACAAACAGATGTAGAGTGGTCTTAATAATATTAAGTTGTTTTAATATTTCTAATATGTTTTTAAGTATTTGAAAGCCTCGGATAGTAGACCTGAGTTAGTTATTATGTATTTCTAGGAACCTATGTTGATATTATGTTGGGATTTGTTTCTAAAATTTTACTATGAAAACCATATTGGGTTAGCTTATCATTATGGTATGAATTCCTATTGTATAAGCAAATTATTTGAACATTTTTTTTTTTGGCTGAATGCATTATGGAAGGTGTTCTTTTCATCAAAATACACACCTGATTTTCAATTTTTCAAATTTATTTCCTTAAAGAATTTGAATAATGATTTTATTTTGTTCCAAACAGACCATTAAAGTTTATTTTCTTTAAATTTCTTCAAAACATTTTTATACGATACATAATTTTTTTATTAATTATAACTCCAGGCACCTGCACTTTTTAGGATAAAAAGTCCAGAATCATACGATGAAAGCTATCGACAGGCATATGCAAACATCACTGTGGCTTCTCTCTACAAGTATTGAAAGCTCAAACAAGCTGTTGGGCTGTCTATGTAAAGGCCTTTTTTCTTCAACATGGCTAAGCAAAGCATCTTCATGTCACATACGTAAGAAAGCATCTGAATATTACCGTCACCAAACTAAAAACTTCAAGAAACTACAAAATCTGATTCGAGGCACTGCCAAAGTAAAAACAAATTCATAGAACAGAACATCCAACTGGCAACTTGATACACATCATGACATCCAACCCGATAAGGAGAGAAACAAAAAAAACAGAGTTCCAAAAACAAAAAAGACAGTTGAAAACTCATTCAATCATTCATCCCCAAAGAACACAAAGAAACTGCATTTCTTGAAAAAAAGACAATTAAAGAAAAACCTTTCAGAAGAGAGATCTCTTCGAAGCCTTCCTGCCTAGTATAGCCTCCCAGACCAAAGGTGCGAAAGGGCCTCTCTTATCCAAATAATCCCTCACCGCTTTTTCCTCGACCACGAACCCTTTGAGCCTGATTGCCCCAATCACATCCCGAGCATCTTCCAAACCCTTCTCTCTACAGTAAACATCCACCAAACCCGTAAAAGTGGCTAGATTCGGAGCATGCCCAGCCTCCAACATCTCAATAACAAACGCTCGAGCGTCCTCCAATCTCTTCCCTCCACACAGTCCCCTGATCAAGACTTGATAACTAAACGCGTTGGGGTCCACCCCATTACCCTGCATCTTCCGGAAGATTCTGACTGCATCCTCAAACTTCTGTGCCTTGCAGAACCCCTCCACAACGGCCGTGTATACAACCACTTCAGGAATTGTGCCCTTCTCACGCATGGACCCAAACAACTTCATAGCCTCTTGCACGAGCCCGTCTTTACACAAGCCATCGAGCATGGATACAGCATTGGGTATCAGACCAGTCTCCTTCATTTTCTTGAAAATCTCGTCTGCATCCTCCGGTGGCGGCAGGGGCTGTTCTGTATTCTCGGCGTTCTTGGTTTTAGGATTTTCGGGTTTTTGGTCAAACCCGAGCTTGAACCTTTCCAGGAAATCAGAATCAGTCTCATTCCTGATTCGTGCATCACGGTTGTTGTACCTTGGGGTTCGAGAAGGATGGCTTTCCCCTCTCAAGGGTCGGTTTGAAATGGGTTCTGGGATTCGATTGGGATGACCTAAGCCGTCGTGTTTAGTGGAGAAAAGACAAACATTTTGCCACTGACGAGCCAAGGAAAGAGAACAGAGCCTGATTCTGAGCATTGTGGATGTACGTAAGGCGAGATTTTTCTTAATGTTTCTTCTGGGTCCTGTAAGAATCTGAACCTGTAGAAAAGGCATTCATGAAGCTTGTAAACCGAAACCAGAGCAAACCGAAATTCTGTAAACATTAGTCCGAATATCGGGTGAACGAGGTTGCAACGAGCATCAAGTGACAATATAAATTTACAGATACAACACATCATAGCAGCACAGACCAGCTAAAAGGGGGTGCGAACTGAAACCTCAGACAAAGAAAGTTAACACATTTTTTACCACAGAAAAATCAATCCTCAGCCGGAGAAAACCAAATTCATTACGGAACAGCAATTACTTAGAGACCCTCAGACACTTTAGCTTCTCAAATTATAGTTCTGTAAAATTAAAGCAAGACGAAAATTTCACAGAGGCGTTCGTATTTAGTCATTTGGGCAATTAGGGTTAGACGTCGAGGAGGTCGAGGAAGAAGAAATTTACCTCTTTGGTGATTGGACAGTGAAACCAAGTTCGCCGTGCCGTGCCGTGCCGTGCCGGCTGCGGGTAGGGTCTGCCGATCGGTGATGGGCCGTGGATTGATCGCCGGAGGCGTGGATGATAGGCCTGTTATTTCGTTCTCCACTTTTCTATACTCTGTCGGACTTTTTTACCCTTGAATTAACAATGCTATGTGATTAATTCAGAAAACCATTTCATAGTTTAAGTTTAAAGTTTCAAGATATTTTTCGTTTTAAATTATCTTGAAATGAATGTAAAACCATGAAATGAAATGAAGATAAAAACATCGAAAATATTAATTAAAAGTAAATTGTTAATGACAATGCAATAATAATAGTTGAAGTACAATATTTTGTTACTGATAATTAATAATTTCATACTTAAAAAAATAAAATAAATGATTTTTTTTTTAAAATTTGAAATACTTCTTATCAAATTATATTATTATTTTTATTTAAAGTGACAAGTGATTTATAATTTTACTAGTAATCAACTTGTGCATTTGCACATATACAAATTCATAGAAAATAAAATAAGAAAAACAAAAATACTAAATCATAATTTAATTCAAGAAAAAATATTAATTAAGAAAATAATTCTAAATATTATTAAAAAATATTTTATATACAACATTTATATTTTATATACAATATTTTAATATAATGCCTTAGAAAATTTGACATCTCTTGATTAGGTAATGCTTTTTAATTACATGACATTAGTAACATAATATTGCACCATAACATTTGGATTAAGACTAAGAAAAAATATATAAAATTCGAATATGGCAACACGATAATGAGATATATTGGTGTTTGAAATATAATTCATTATTAATGATTTATACAATTAGATATATTGTATTTTCTTGAGGTAGAT